CCCAAGATGAATTCTTAAAATTAGACCCCTTTATGTATAAAAAAAAAAAATAAAAGGAAAAATTACCAAAATAAAAAATAAAAAAAATCCAGAACTTGACAATTGTAACAAAATAAATCATGAGTTTTAATTTTGTCAATTTAAATCTTAAACTTTTGGTTTGTTTTTAATCTAAACTATTTGTCTGTTTCTGTAAAATAAAATTGACCAAAAATCTAAACACTTTCGTAATTTCTCCAAGATAAAAAAATAAAATAAATAATCATTTATCTAAATTTTAATCTTGAAAGTGTATAATGTAAATTTAAAATTAATGTAATACGAATAATACTTAAAATGAATGTGATGCATAAATATATATTTTTATATTTTTTTTATGAGAATGTTCTTCGACTGCTCAATAAAGCACATTGCTTTCCCTTCTGTAATAGTTTTGAGTTAATTTTTAATAGTATATAACATTATTATATACATAAAAATAATAAGGGGAGTTGCTTCTTGAGCATAGGTTTCATTCAATTTATATACAACACGGTGGCTAACTCTAGTGTGCGGCTAACTCTAATGTCGGCCCTAAGATCTTCGGAAACAAGAGATCTATTAATATTCAATATCACAGAATGCATCTTAATACAACATATTTGATCTCATATTCGCATAGGTTTCATTCAATTCATGTTCAACACAGTGGCTAACTGTAAGGGCAGCCCTGAGATCTTTGAGACTCAAGATGAATGCTTAAAATTAGACCCCTTTATGTATAAAAAAAAATTAAAAGGAAAAATTACACAAAAAAAAAAAAAAAAAAAAATCCAAAACTTGACTGTTGTAACAAAATAAATCATGAGATTTTAATTTTATCAATTTAAATCTTAAACTTTTGAGTTTTTAATCTAAATTATTTATCTATTTCTGCAAAATAAAAACGACAGAAAATCTAAACACTTTTGTAAATTCTCCACAAAAAAAAAAATCATTTATCTAAATTTTTATCTTGAAAGTGTATAATGTAAATTTAAAATTAATGTAACACGAATTATTCTTAAAATGAATGTGATCAATAAATATATATTTTTATATTTTTTTTATGAGAATGTTCTTCGACTGCTCAATAAAGCACATTGCTTTCCCTTCTGTAATAGTTTTGAGTTAATTTTTAATAGTATATAACATTATTATATACATAAAAATAATAAGGGGAGTTGCTTCTTGAGCATAGGTTTCATTCAATTTATATACAACACGGTGGCTAACTCTAGTGTGTGGCTAACTCTAATGCCTAAGATCTTCAGGAACAAGAGATCTATTAATATTCATACGTTAACGTCATAATCATTTCACTTATTCTTTAAAAAATATCACATCTAACTATAAAAAAATTTAATTATTTTTTTAAATACAAAATTTTAATCAATTAAAATAATTAAAAATTAAAATAATTTATTAAAATAGTAACTTTTCAAATAGTTGCTTTTTGAACAGTATTTAGTGGCTACTCCCTCCATGTGGAGGAGAAGCAGCCACGTCTCCATTTTCCCAACTATAAACTAATGGTGACCCTTTGATTAACATCTATTATGATTAAGAGAGACTTCCATCTCTCGGATCTTTTTCACCTTCTGACACCCAGCCTTTCTTTTTCTCTCGCCTCTCTTTTCTCTATCTCTTTCTCTCCGACACATTGAGATGAGGATCTGTATTCACGATGATTATGTCGAAACCCTCAGAACCCTCCTTCTCTCTTCTCTCTTCTCGCCAACGGTATTCTCTCTCCTCTATTTTTGTCCTTTCTTTTAGCTTCGAAGTTGAACTGCTTTTGGAAAGTGAATTTATGATTTTTTAAAGTTAAATTTATAACCCCGGCTAAGTGACATTGTGTTTGAGGTTTGGGGTTTAAGTTCCAAGGTTATAGGTTCAATTCCTTGATCAATTTTCTGGACGAAGCACAGTTGGTTAGGAGGTTGGGTCACAAGTTGTCTAATCAACGAACTTGTCTTGAGAGGAGGCGCTGCCTTGTCTTGGGAGGTCGGGACAAGTTTTCAGGTTATAGTTTCCTCACTCGGAATGGCTAACAGGATACCCTGGTGATCTCTGTAAGGGACGCTGTCTTGGACCTGTGGGAGGGTAGGAAGGATTTTCCTGTAACCAAAAAAAAAAAACTTATAATTTCTAGTTTTAGAAAAGTTATTTTGGATTGTTTGATTAAACTTATTTCAAACAGTTTCTGATTTTAACAACTTATTTTAACTCTAAAAAACTGATTCTGAGCAGCTGCTTACCACTTACTTCTGATTATCAGTTTCTGCTGTGAACATGTTAATTTATGGTTAATACTCTTAGATTTTTTTGTTTTTTATTTTTTATTTTTTAAAAAATGAAAAAAGGACCCAAATGGACTATAGATTATTATTATTATTATTATTTTATGAGAAATATAGATAAGTATTGAACAACAAAAAATAAAAGTTAATTGGAAAAACTATTTCACAGCTTATTTAACAAACACTACTCAGTAACTTAAATCTATAATATCTATAATCCAACGGCTATACTAAACAAATTAACAACTTCTGATTAAAGTCATAATCTATAACCTGTTAAGTTATAATTTATAATCTGTTTTAACAGTTACATCAAACGAGGCATTTGTAAGCAACTTAAATGTTACATATCTTTACCAAAAATTAAAATATGTAAATTATATTTATTTTTATAGTGTAATTTTTAAGTGTGTAATTGTATAAGTTTTCATAAATATATATAAATAGCTTCATAAAAATGCTTAAATTTTCACAAATATATATACGTTAACCCATAAAAATTTTAAAAATCACAATTTACATATATTTCTGAGAACTTATGTGATTTTGTAAGATAACTTATATATATTTGTGAGAATTTAGGCAAATGTATATAGCATGCACCTTGCATATTTTTCATTCTTATAATTAATTCAAATTTCACTTAAAGTGCAGAGATTATATTGTTCAATTAAAAAATTAATCCAATCACTTAAAGTGAACCTTGGTGAGTTTACTGCCCAAACAATATGATCCAATCTACCTTGTAAACTTAGGTGATGCCTGTCTTGTGCTTATGTGTCTAGGTGGTAAGTTACTGGGTTCCGCATTTTAGGGCTGGTTTGGCGATCCTTAAAAAAATTAAAAAATTAAAAAATTATCAAAAAAATTAAAAAGTTATTACTATTCACAAAAAAAATAAAAAATAATATACAAATATTAATTTGTATGACAAATTAATATAAAAGTTCAATCCGACCAATCCATCAACGTACGGACACGTAAGCCACTTGCGATGAAAGGAAAAACAAAAAATAATATGTGTACCTTCACTTATTTGCAGGGTAAAGTTGGGCCTGTAAGGGCTCATCACGGGTCTCATTTTGATAATTCGAACTGTTCAATGTGTAGAACTCGTCGAGTACTATATGTTTGCAAAAAATCACGTTGATCGGATATCGATAGCTATCTCATCGGATTAGATTTATGTTACCATTTAATTTTTTACTGTTCATTTTTTAATACAAAACTAATTTATTACATAACTATCGTTATCTAATCAATGTGATTTTTTTATAAGAATATAGTACTTAACGAGCTCTACTTATTGAACAATTCAGATTATCGAAACGGAATTCCTAGTGAGCCCTGTGGGTCCAACAATATCCTTTAGTTCGATCACGGACCTCTTTCAAAATAGATGAAAGGGAGAGAAGGCATTGAACCAGAGAGAAGAAACGACGGGGAGGGAAGAAGTTGGCAATAAGAAAACGACGGAGGGAGACGGAAGAGACGAACTCATGGCGGAGAGACTGGGCGAAGAAGAAAGCTGCCATTCAATCATGTTTGGAACCTATTTGTTCTGGGGTTATGATTTGGGGATTTGAAAAAACAAAAATTTGGGAATTTCAATTGAAAAATTAGATTTTGATTGGGGACTTAAAACTTTTCAGAATTTTTCGATCATTTAATCGAAGCGATGATGGAATGCTAACTCAACCCATTCAGCTCCCTATTGAAAATGTTGGCTCTGAAACGGAGTTGCGATTGTTTGGTTTGAAACAAAATCACAATTGATCGCTACTTTGATCTAGATCAGTGGGTTTACAAGATTGGCTGATTTAATTTTCACTTTAGGCGTGAGTGTGTAGGCTTTCATGTATTCTCTCTATAAAACCTGTCTTTGCTATATATATATATGCATGTATTATATATGATGGATGTACGTTCTATATGTTTTTCACTTGGGTTGCTAGAGATTTCTGTTAGTTAATTTGATTGTTTGATTTGCCTTTCTTATTTTTTTTTTTTGCTTATTTTTTTTTTTTTTTGCTTTCTCTTTTGTAGGATTGTGGTGTTGCTTTTGAAAGTTCAAATAATAGTCAACAGAATTTTTGGATAGGTATATATGGTAGGGCTGCAAACAAGCTGAGCCGAGTCGAGCTTTCAGAAGTTTAGGCTAGGCTCGGCTCGGTCAAAATGGGAGAAGCTCGAGCTCGGCTCGAGCTCGATTCGAGCTTCAGAAATTATGTTCGACCTTGGCTCGTTAGATAGTTTAAAAGCTCGAGCTCGGCTCATTTAGGCTCGACAACGCAAACGAGCTTGAACGAGCTCGAGCTCGAACAAGCTCGAAATTCCAATTCTCATCTATAGCTAAAAAAATGAAATCTGTGCATCCAAAAAATAAAAAAATTGAAATCTGTGCATCCAAAAAAAAATTATGTACAATTAGTAATAAAAAACTAAAATCTGTGCATCCAAAAAAAATTATGTACAATTAGTAATACAAAACTGAAATCTGTGCATCCAAAAAAAAATTATGTACAATTAGTAATAAAAAACTAAAATCTGTGCATCCAAAAAAAAAATCTGTACAACTAGTAATAAAAAACTGAAATCTGTGCATCCAAAAAAAAAAAAAATTCTAAGCATCAAAGCAAAAAAAAAAAAAAAATTATATACAACTAATAATTAAAAAAAAATCTGTGCATTACACAATGCATTAAACAATGCATCCTTGAACAAAACATAATTGCCAAAAATATGGTGCATCCTTAAATAAAACACATTACACAACACATTACACAAGACATTACACAATGCATTCTTAAACAAAACATAATAACCAAAAACTAAACCACTAATTTCTTGACTTGATTTACTTGAAAACACACCAAAAAGTCTTCATTCCTTTGGAAACTTCATAGGAGCCTTCAACCTGTAATAGTAGAATCATTATATATGAATGAATCTTATAATAGTATTTAGAGAAATTTAGTTTATTAAAGATGAAACATACCCAAAGATGTCAAACTAAGGAAACAAAATCTCTTTGAAAGATGACTCCATAGTCTATCAAAAGAAACAATAATATATTATTTCAGTATTATGTTTCATATCAATTGATAATAAAGAAATTTGTCACTGTATTTGTATGGATCAAAATTAATAATTAAAAAAAAAATACTTACATCTGATCCCTTTTTGAGTCCATGTAGTGCACGTACCCAGTCAGATCCACATAGTAAGATTTGGACTGTTTCCGTTGATAATGATGCTCGATAGGGATCAATAACTCTACCACCAGCACTAAATGTCGACTCCGACGCCACTGTACTGATTGGAATTGACAATATATCACTGCCATCTTGGACAATATTCGATACTTGAGGTTGTTTACTTTCCACCACTCCAATGCATCAAAATGGGAATTTGAACCTTCATTGCATATGTAAACACTTTCTTCTAAATAAATGTCCAAGTCAGATTTTGCAGGCTGAATTGTGTCAGCTTTTCTAACAAAAGATTCAAATTTAGATCTTCCCGTCCCGAGTGCTTTTCCAGAACCATAAGTAGCATTACTAGAATCATTAGCTTCTTGAGTGCTTTGCTGCAAAGTTTGCTCATTGTTACTTGAAGTATGAATAACAACATATTCATTGTAAAGCTCATATAGGGCGTCACGCACCATGGAAATGTTTCTAGTAGCTTCTGCCTCTGGGTAGATCTCTGGAAAACAAAACTGAACAAGCATCAATTTGAATCTCGGATCCAACACTGCAGCTATAGCCATCAACAAATTACATTCACCCCAATACTTGTCAAATTTTCTTTTCATCTTCAAAGCCATTGCCTTAATGTAGTCATTGTCATCCACCGACTTCTCATTCAATATTTCTTTTATCCTCCAAACCTCTGCAAGGAACAAATTAGAAGTAGGATATTCACTCCAGGAGATGATATTTGTGACTTCATTGAAAATTGCCAAAAATTGACATATAGTCTCAACTTTCACCCAATCTTCAAGGCTAGGCACGTAAACAAAACTTGGATCCCTTTCTTGATGTCTAGGGAAGACATCTTTAAACTCCAAAGCAGCAGACAACATCATATAAGTTGCATTCCATCAGGTTGGACAATCTAAAATCAATTTTTTTGAAGGCAACTGCAATTGCTTAGCAATCTCACTAAATTGATTAAAACGTGCTTCTGATGCACTCAAGTACTTGACACCATCTCGAACACCATCAACAATATCTCCTATTTGGCCAAGCCCATCATGCACCATAATATTCACTATGTGGGCACAACAACGTACATGAAAAATTTTTCCACCCAAAAGCAACTTCTTTTTCATTGCAAAGGTTTCTTTCAAAATTCTCAAGCAAACATCATTGTATGAAGCATTATCTACTGTTATAGTACACACCTTATTTTCAATGCCCCATTCAACTAGACACTTGTGAAGAGCATCCGCAATGATAACCCCAGTGTGCGGAGGTGGTACATTGCAAAAGTTAAGAACACGCTTTTGCAACTTCCACTCATTATCAATAAAATGACCCGTGACTACCATGTATTGAATTTTTTGCCCTGACTTCCATAGGTCGGTTGTAATTCTAATCCTATTAACACTCTTCAATAATGTTTTCAACTTCTTCTTTTCTATATCATAAGTCGACACACAATCATTTTTTGCGGTGGTACAAGTTATCTTTTGCCAATGTGCAGTAGCAGTTTTCATGAACTTGTTAAATAAAACATGCTCCATTTGCATAAAAGGATATTCATGATAAAGTATCATATGAGAAGCAGCTTCCCTCACCTTTGCTTGGTCATACTTGAAGGCTGCCACATTGGTCACATTGTCAGATCCGGTTGTCTCAAGTGATAGAAGCCTTTGCTTTTTGTCAGCAAGTTGTCGTCTAGCACAACTGTTCAAGTGCCTAAGAAGTTGAGTTGTAGCACCCGTTGGAGGAATGGCAAATCTTGTTTTGCAATGCATGCATTCAGCCTTCTTGGTACCATCTGGAAGAACCACTTCTTTAATTTCATTCCAAACTTTTGATGTTCGTTTCCTACTCTTCTTTTGGAATGAATTGTTATCTTCGGGAACTCCATTTTCTCTTGCATTTTCCTCTAATTCAATTAAATTATCGACATCATTTGCATCTTCGTTAACTGTATCCATCAGTGGACTAGTGGATGACTCCTCAAATGATGAAAACGGTGTACAAGAATCTTGCTCTGGAGAAGTAAGATTAATTTGTCTATCTGACATATCTGAGAAAAATAACAATAATTCAACAAACAAATTAATACACTAATAAATTAACAATCAATATAAAATTGAACTATAATAATAATAAATTAAGAAACTAAAAATTGAACTAACCATTGTATTAAATAAGTGAAACCAAGACAGAAAATTACCCAAACAAAGCATCAAAAATTAAATTGTTAAAGCACAAAATTAATAAATCATCTTTATTCACAAATGTAACCAAGACCCATATTTAAATATTTCAGTTTTGGCAGTGCCTCATGCCCATTACTTATTTAAATATTATTAAACTAGTAATAAAAAACCTTAACATCATAACTGTACATAAGGAACCAAGACCCATATAAGTAAAAAATTATAGGACTAGTTAAACAAGACCCATATAACTGTATGAGCATGACAGTGGACATATTGAAAACTTGAAATATGGAAACATGTTTCCAAAAGGAAAAATGGATTATAAACCAGTTAAATATAGAAGATATGAAGGTCAAAGAGATGAAGAATATGCTTTGGATCCTATTGCAAAAAGCTTTTCGACTAATAGACTTCTTATTAATGGAATTTTTTTACCACAAGATTGGTATCAGAGGTAGTTTGAAGACAACTTAAAAAACCTAGGACCATAACAGTGACATTCACTAACAACACTTGACCCTCCCAAACCCAAACCCAAACTAAGACATCAAAATAAGGAAAAGATCTAAGTGCCATGCTTCTATTTTCACTTTTGGCATAAGTCAAAAGAAGCTTTAAGAAAAAAAAAATGTCTCAACTAGTAACAAAAATAAGATATTGGTAAATTGCAGAGTGGCACCAACTTGGAGCTGTTATAATTTTCTTTTTTTATTAGCAACGAAGAAATTTTATTAGAGAAAGTCTAGGATCAGGCCAATACAACTTTGATTTTAATTTAGTGCAAGCCCAACAAAATCTTGGCCCAAATCATCTCCAGCCCTAACACTTACCATGATTCCGAAGGTAACCTAGATGTGCCGCTCAGTCTCTTCTTTTTCTTGTTCTCTTTGCTTTCCTGATCCTATCCTATGAAGCCCTTAAACCACACAAACAAATCCCTTTCGACCATCCCACAAATCTGACATCTTTATTTTGAATTTTTATTGAATTAAAAATTGAGTGAATCATGGGAGAGGTTGTAATTTTTTCCTAATTTATATGTTGAAAACAGGGAGCAAAAACCAATCCAAAAAAAAACAGGGGACAAATATATACATGTAACATGAATAAAGTTTCACTCTAGCAGGAGGCTGAAGGGAGAGGATAGAGAAAGGGTCAATGGTGAAGTGAAAAAAGTGTACTGTGTGTGCATATGAGCATGTAAGAGACACCATGGTTGAGAGAGAGAGAGAGAGAGAGAGAGAGAGAGAGAGAGAGAGAGAAGAAGATTAACTTACCACAATGGATTCAAGAGAGAAGAATAATCTCTCAGTCTCAGATCTTCACCAGAGCAGTGAAACTATACCGTTGTTGTTGATGTTTGAGTGTCTGAGAGTTGATGAGTTTGTGCGATTGATTCAAGTGTTGGCAAGATCCAGATGTGTGTTTGAATGTCTGAGGTTACAAAGAGTAGCAAGCAGGAGTAGAGCAACGTATGTATTTGATACACAAAGGAACCCTAGTTTTTTTTTTTTACTTATATACTATGGCTCGCGAGCCTTACAGAGTCGAGCCTTAGTCAGCTCGAGCTCAGCTCGTTTAACAAATGAGCTTAGAAATGTAGCTCGAGCTCGTTTATTAGCTAATCGAAACCTGATCTCTAACGAGCTGTTAACGAGCCGAGCCCAAGCTTTTCGTGAACAGCTCGGTTCGTTTGCAACCCTAATATATGTAACTCTGTTTTTACTAATAATCTACATTTCTAAATCTAAGAAAAATAAGCTATTTTTAACACAACACACACACACACACACACACAAAATGTTAAATTATATAATTGCAAATTTGCAATTGAGTGGTGTATATTTTCCTAATTTTGTCCCCAGTTCGACTTATAATGATGTGTCCATCCCTAGTGAAGTGATTCAATACTCGTTCTTCTCTTATCTTATGTTGTGTTTGGTTAGAGAATTTAGAAAGAAAATGGAAAATGTGTGTGAAAATAAGTTGAAAGTTAAGTATATTTTTCACATTTCATTTGAAATGTAAGTATATTTATTTGCATTTCATTTACGGTTTTTTTTTTTCATTTCTAAATTTCTATTCTAAATCCTTAACCAATATAAAATTAGGAAAATTGTTTGAGTGCTGACAAATAACTCCCATGTCGATCCCTAATAATTTGTCATTATCACTCAATTGTGTAAAATCTATCTCTTTTACAATATCATTATTATAAATTTGTGATCCAAATTTATGTCTCTTTAGATTACTTCACCGTAAACTTTGACTTCACAAACTCTCACTTACAAAAAAATATTGACGCCCATCATAAGAAAATCACAAAATTATTACTCTTTTTACAACACATGAAGCATGTCTTTGCAGATATATCATTAAATCGGGTTTTTTTATTTTTATTTTATTTTTATGTTTTGGGATTTTAAAATTCAAAATAACAATTTGTGAATTGTCACTCCCTTTTTAAGTGTTTTGATTTTAAAATAAAGCATTTTCATAAATATGATTCTTTTGTCTCATTAATAATTTATTTCAATGAATTCCAGCAAAAATTAAATAAATTAAATGAAAATTTTATGCACCCAAAAAATAATATCATGATTTTCTACAATTTTCAAATGGGAGCTTTTTTAATAAGTCCATTTCTCTAGAATCCTATTCCAATAAACCCATAGTGTTTTCTATTATTTTATCAAGGTCCCTTATTTTATATTAGAGACCAAACCCCTTCTCTTCTTCCCCTCTCTTTTGAATCAAAATATTTGCCGCTCTTCCCCTCTTTTTTTTGGCAAAAAAATAACACACAATATCTCCACCCTTTCCAAAAAATCCAAAATTCGTATTCATATCGTCTCACACCCATTACGTATCTGCATTTGTTCCATCGTCGCAAGGTCTCATCGTCGGCTTCAATAGTACCTCCACCATCTGTCTAATGGAAATGTGAAATCACCATTGGTGAAACATCCTAAAGTTCCATCTTCGTCAAAATCCCACCGATGACATTTGTGACAACAACATCATATGGAAAAAGGAGTAAGTAATCTCACAATCTTGGTAGTAAAACCGCAAATCTTGTTCAAATTAACACATTGTGAACTTCCATATCCCCTGTGTTCTATTCATACAATGTGTGGAACCTTCATTCATTTATCGTTCAGATGCCACATGTTAATGTGGACCCTCAATCCAATCTCCAAGTTATGTGTTTGTTCACCCAAAATAATGCAATGGCAATAACGTTGTTCGTTGTCAAAAGTTTTAACATTTAACATGGGAATGAAAATGTTGGCCAAGCCAATTATTTACAGATGTCTGTTCGTTGTTGTTGTATGTCTTTAATCATGTGAATCTCATACTCATTTCATCAATTGAATTCTATAGGTAGTCGAGCTTCATCAGTATATGATTCTTTATTCATTCAATGTAGCTGAACTTCATATTATATCTTTATTTGCAAACTCAATTGATGTGAATTCACATTATGGATAAACTTACATTAGTAGAATACTTTTGTGAACATATCACATCGTGTTTATGATGATGTCATTGACATGTTCTATTGATTACTTGTTCAAATTTATTCATGTTCTTGAGTTAGTAGTTGATGAATTCATATATATACCATATTAATTAGTAGACTTTTTTTTCATTCATTTGTAACTTCAATTCTAATCTGTTCATTGCACCAATGGATGAATGGATAATACTGGACTTACATTGTGATATAGAACATTCACATGTGTGAGAAGTCACATTACTGCACTGTTGTATTGTTTGATTGTGTGAGTTGTCTAGCTGACCCTCTTTCTTGCAGCTCCGAATGTGATTATTAAACTCAATGTCATCATCTGCTAATTTTTTTGTTGTTGTGGTTCAACTTTACAATTTACATTGTGCACCCATGTCATTTAATGCTGCTACTGTTGTTTTTTCGGCAATTGGATTTTGCAAACATAGATGATGTGAACATTACACGACATTACTGTTCCAATTACTGGATATATAACTTACATTGATATGACCACTTGATGTGAACATTCACATCAGTGTTATAATGATTTGAATGCTTCCATGTCAAATTAACGTCACTGTTGATAATGTTGATTGGTGATGTCCCATGTAGAAACCCCCAATTCTTCACTCAACAATTCATGGAATGATGTAGAAACATTCACATTGGACATTCAATGGTCAGACTTGTTGTGTTGTTGGGTTTTGACACCTTTTGTTTTCGCAGCCAATTATAACATCAATGTGATCACCATGTAACATTTACATTCTGCCCTATAATTGTTGTCGTTTTCCGAATTGAATTTTGCAACATAGATTTATGTGAACTTCACATCTAACTGTTATTTACTGGATAAACTTACATTATTTTTGTTAGGTGTTGATGCCCAGATTTTTTATGGTTGCCAACCCTATTTTTAGTTCAATGTTGAATTCTTGTAAGGCATGTTATTACTAATAACATCTTATTGTTTCTTTTATTATTGATAAGCAACCATGTGAACATTTCACATTCTGAGGGTAGCTATTATATGAATTTACCATGTATTGGTGTATGTTGTGTCTCCCTCTTATGTCAATGTCGAACTTGTTTGGTTTGTTGTTATTCATGGTGATCAATAATTACAACCTTAATTTGATGGTTGTCAACGTTTGTTTTGAGTTCACATGTTGATTCGTGTAGCATTTGTAATAATAACATCTTTTTCGTTTCTCTTTTATTGAGTAAAATCAATGTGACCATTCACATCTGAGGATAGCTATTTGTATAAATCTTTACATTATGATGTTTGTTGTGTTGTTTGTTGATTATCTACTTTTATTCTCAGTTTGCATTAGTCTCAAATGTTTGTGTAACAACAATTCGTGACGTTCAACCGATTCTTTTTGTTAGGCTAGCAGTTTACATGTGTTGTTTCCTTTATTGTTGTGAAAATTGGTTCATGTGTCCAATTAATGAAAAATCACATTATTGTGTTGTCCTCACTCCTATTTGTACCCTAGCAGTAATGTGATACAATCAATGTTTGTGTGTTTGTTGATTATCTGTTATTGGATACAATCAATGTGAACATTCACATTCTAAGTAGCTATTTCACATGTGTTGTTCTTATGTGTGAAGGTTTTGTTGTGTCAATATGAAAAATCAACATATAATTTGGTGTTGTCCATCACTTCTATTATGTACCGCAGCAGTAATGTGAAATATTCACATCTCTATTTTCAATGTCAATATTCCATTAGAAATAATAATGTAGATATCAACGGTCAACATCAATGGAAATTTGACAGAGCTGTTGTGTATTGTTTGCGGTTGGAATGTTATAAACCAATTAGGAGCTCCTAATCTTGGATGATCTCCAACTCTCTTGGTTTCATGTCTATTCCATTTATACATAATCATTAATACATATATTTAAAAGTGGTGATAAATATGATGTGAAATGGTGTAAATTTGAAATATTGAGTAAATATTTTACTTCAATGTCAATATTCCATTATGAATATAATGTAAGATATTCAGCTTCTAAACATGGAATATGATGGTAAATGATTTACAGAGTTTGGTATGTTGCGTAATGTTTGATGGGTATCAAACCAATTAGAGCCCTAATCTTGAGAGTTATCAGCTTTTTTTTGTTCAATGTGTTATTCCATTTATACATAATCTGCGATGAATATTTAAAATGTATCAATATGATGTGAATATGGTGTAAATATTGACATTGATGTAAATATTTACTTCAATGTCAATATTCACATTATCAATATAATGTAGATATTCCACTTCTAACATCAATGGAATATGATATAAATATTTACAGAGTTGTTGGTATTATTGTGTGCTAATGGTTATAAAGCAATTAGAACTCCTAATCTTGGATGTTTGTCAACTCTCTTTTGGTTCAATGTGTATCTCATTATACATAATGTCAATATTTACATCAGACTGCTATATATTGGTAATGACTTGTTTGTCTTAAATTGTCATGTGTAACACACTCTCTATCTCCTCCCTTGTGTCAATGTCAGATTTGTTAATGTTGTTGGTTGTTGATGGTGATGAAATAATTACATTCTGAACATAATGCCAATATTTACATTCTAACATCAATGTCAATATTCACCTCCTGTTATCAATGGAATATGATGTAGATATTAACAAAGTTGTTAGTATTGTTGCTTGTTGATGAAAAACCCCTAATCTTGAATAGTTGTCAACCTTTTTTTGGTTCAATCTGAATTTTATTGTACACAATGTCAATATTTACATCAGATTGTTAGATATTGATAATGACTACAAACCAATGGTAAGCCTTACATCAATTTGTACACATCTTTCACAACCATTATATACACCTAAATTTCAAATTCTAACAATAACAACTTTGCATTTTCAGGGTGGATTGCGGGCCCGTAGTGTGTTACATCATCAAGGCGCATGTATACCGTGAGGAACTTGTTGACAGCCTTAATCGCTTTGAATGGTGTCAAATAAGAGACTCATTGTACACATTTTTCTGAATCACACAAAGACAGTGCAATATGAAAACCTATAGGTAGGGGGTGTCCACCTGTAATTGTTATCTATAATTGTTATCCACATTTAAGACAATTTAGTATCAACAGTTTTGACATATTGGAGCAGACTAGCTTAAGTGTAAATCAATTTTGTATCAATGCTTGTACTCCAATTTTTCATTCAATATATGTATATGCATTTTGAGGCCTATTTCGTGTTGATCATTCACATGGATGTGAATATTACTTAAAATATTATTGTAACACAATGTAACTGGTGTGAATATCATATTTCTTAACACATAAGTGAATATTCGCAGCAAATAATTTAATGATATTAATAGTTACAGATGATATGAATATTCACATCATATGCTTTTATGTTGTAAATGGTAATAGGTATGTCAACATTCACACCGCGCCCATGCATACATCATAATATACATAACAACATCCCGTTTTGCTGTCAGAAAATGCGCACAATGACAATTCGTAATACAAATCTGAATATTCACATCAAATGATTTGATAATGTGAATCGTTACAATGATATAAATATTCATGTTAACTACTTTGATGTTGTCAGTGGTAACAAGAATGCGAATATTCACATCAAATAGCATATTGCAAATGATGTGAATATTCACATCATATGTTTTCATGTTGTAAATGGTAACAGACATGTCAATATTCACACGCCCATGCATGCATCATAATATACACAACAACATCCCATTTTGCTAGCAAAAAACACTCACAACGACAATTCATAATACAAATCTGAATATTCACATAAATGATTTGGTAATATGTTGGTAATGTGAATGGTTACAGTGATATAAATATTCATGCTAACTACTTTGATACTATCAATGGTACCAAGAATGTAAATATTCACATCACACACATACATGCCTCATAATATACATGACCAAGAAAAACCTATATCCTCATATAACCAACCAAAACTTAATTTAGATAATAATGTTGAAAGTAAGAAATAGATCATACAATCATTCATATGCATTCACATTCTCAATGCGATGTGAATATTTACCACATTAAAAAAAAAAAGCCATAACTCAACCACATAACCAGCCAAAATCCATAACCCCATACAACCAAAAAAAACTTGCATGTCCATTAATTCTAGAAAATGAAATTGGAAGCAAAAAACAGAGCATACAACACTTCATATAAATCCAATCACAAATGACATGCATCCATTACATACTAACCTTAAGATAATGTAATCAAACCGAGCACAGTATTCGTCTTCTCCAAATTCAAAAATCTCAATCTCTCAAAAAATAAAAAAAGCCATCACACAAATTCTCCTCTGTATCTTCATAATTTTCATCTCCATCTTCATCATTATTACTATTATTAACACCTCTTACAATTCCACCATTACAGTAATTCAAATCAAACCAAACACACTTCATCTCTTTATAAAGAAAGCTACATTACTGTATCAGAAACCTCATTCTTCACAATTCTAACACTCATTTCTTAAGCTTCCAAACAATATGAAATGTGAACATTCACATTGATTGACAGAAAAACCAAAAATAATGGCAGCAATAGGAACTATAAATCCAAAAAAAAAAAAAAAAACTCAATCTCTTTGAAAACAAAAAATTATCACCCACATCTTCAGTTTCATCATATCACTATCATTAACAACTCGTGTAATTTCATCAATCCACCAATTCAAATCAAATTAAACCCACCTTCGAAGAACAAGTATTCAAATCCATCTCATCTTTCCCTTTGATTCAATCCAGTTGAATGTGGATTTTAGTCAGTCTACTGAACAAGTTTGTAAGCCATTACCCCTGTTTCTTTGGTTCAAATCCTTTTCTCTTCCTTTGATTTCTGGCTGAAATCATAACTATGGCCAAAAAAAAAAAAAAAAAAAAATGGCCAAAAAAAAACAGAGCATAAACTCTAAATCATCATCTTCTCTTCTACAGGAATGAAACCGTATCGCAATGAAACGCTACCGCGAACTATGTGCCGTCGTCTTCTCTCTTATAGGAACGAAATCCTACTATAACAAAAACAGAGGGAAACATGTATATTATTTTGTATATAATATATATCAACAAATAGACATAAGGGTATAATAGTCAAACAAATAATATAAATTAGGAAAAAAAGACCTCATGAAATAAAAGTAGAAATTCATGGGACTAATTAGGTTATAATTTTTCTTGATGGGCTTATTGGGTTCAAACACCTATCAATAAAAAACCCATTTCAAATCTACCTGTATAGTTAAACTTCTTCTTATGGGTCACACGACAAATGAATATTGGCCTTTGATTTTAGATAATGGGTAATTTATTTATTTTTTTTGGGGTATAGTATTGTTGAAAATGAAGAGGAGTCTTGCTAGCCATCCATTATTCCGTGTTCGGTGGTTATTGTTCTAATCTAATGTTGGCCATGAGCATTTTACAGCTAATAAATCTTTAGTTTTCTTGAATAATAACCCATAATCTATGAATATCTTATCTTAATAGATGTGCATCTCAGCCATTGTTTAATCATTCAAAAACTAGCGAATTTAAGAGATGTTAATTTGCTGTCGATTCTCAAAGGGATGAAGAAGAAATTTAGCTTTCGTTAATTTAGTTGGGTTAAAAAATTACAAAAGATAAAATAGATTAAATAAGTCAATAAGATAAAATGTCACATTTAAATTATAATCATTTTATTTTTTTTCCTCACAAAAGTTAAAAAAACCAGAAAAATCAAACCAAATGAACTTTTTAATCCCAAACTAAAAGAGTTCCAACTCAAAAAAACAACTAAAAAAGCCAATACCAAAATGTGACTAGTTTGTATCTATATAATTTTATATAATAAGGGAGAGTTACTCTTTAAGAGCATCCTTATCAAACTCGCTATAATCGTTTTTTAGCCAATAAATTTCAAAAAATCAAGTCCATCAAACTTGCTTGCAGCTCGTCAAAATTTATTATTACTACAATATCTCGTTACAACAAGTGAGGTACTGCTCATCGCTAGATTAGTGTTACCGGATGTCCGTTCACAAGTCCGGTCAGACATCTGGCCGGTCAACCGGTCAACAGCAAATTTTATTTATTTATTATTTATTTATTTTTTTTATTATTTAAGAATTGTTTGGCTGATAACTTATCAATTTAATAAAAGAAGAAAGACTAATAAGCACAATAAAAAATAATATTTTAACAAAATTAAGTTAAAATAAAGAGTTTGATGAGTATTAAAAAGTGATTAGATAAAATAATAAAACAATTTTAATTTGACTAAAAATTCTAGAGGTTGGTGTGGATTCTTTAAGCAGTGGCTTTTGGCTACTCCCTTTTTATGAATTGAGGCACGTCTCCATTCTTATTCACCACACATTTCTCTCTATCTGCCTTCATGGCTTTTCTTTCGACGACCTGAAACGGTGAACAACGATTGCCTTTTGGTTGGAGCTCTCTCACGTATTCTAATCTGGCCCCACAAATCTCAGTGAAGATAAGTCATGTTAGTGAAGCCCTGAAAAAACACCACATACCTATTTCTCTCTCTACCTCTCGGTAAAAGACAAGTCATCTCAGTAAAATGCCCTCAAAAACAAAATCAAAGGTGAATTATCTCTTTTAAATTTGTTTATATGATTTTGTGCTTTTCTTGTTCCTAAGTTCTGAACCCTAATTTTATACTCATATTTTGTGTTATTCTTTTTTATGGTAAGAACATTGTTGCTTGCTGGTGCTTTTCTGTTTTGAGATTGTCATCTTCTTTGTTTATCTGTTTAGTTTGATTTTGTTTCCTGTCGTAATTTGTGAAGAGTGTAAATTCCTATCTACTTTGTGCTAGCATTTTGTTACTTATTTCCTGGTCATGCAACATCGTTATTTTGTATTCATTTTTCAGAGTTTCTTTACCCTTTCTTTTTTTTTTTTTTTTTTTTTTTTTTTTTTTTTTTTTTGTTGGGTTGTTGTTGTTGGTGTGTTTGGTTCAATGATTTGGTGAGGAATTTAAATGAAATGGTAAAGGTAGATGCAATGTGAATGAACACACTTTTCATACATTTTCTTTTTTTTTCATTTTTTTTTCCAAATTCATACCCTAATTCATGAACCAAATACAGCCTAAAAGTCATGTCCTTTCTCTCATTGTTGTATACATTCTGTATATATGAGTGTTTATGCTTACTTTTAAATTTACTTATCACCGTTGCATTCTATGCATTGTATTTACTCTTTAGGCGGTATTCTATTCTTCCAATTGTGACTGCATTTTTATGTTGAGATTTTTTTTTTAATTTTATTTTGATCTCTTTGTTTTTGATTCAATTTCTTTAGTGCTATCAGGTTATTGTTGGATATGAGATGGGTTAAATTGATCGTCTTCTTTGGCAATATCTTCTTTAATCTCTTTAAAATTGTGCTATTGGTGCAATTAGGTGGCTGCAAGGATTGCTTTTGTTCTTTGAGTAGCTTTTGTCACTTCCTTCGCATGCTTCTTCCTATACTTCGCTTGTCTTCATTGATTTTTTGTGTATCACTGTTTTTTCTTTTTTCCTTACAAAAAATTTGTGCTTTGTTTTCCTATTCCTTTTCCTTTTTATTTTATTTATTTATTTATTCCTTGGCCTTGCGAGGTTTATTTGATTGTTTTTTTTATTAGGAAAATTTAGCCAAAATCTCTCAATTGAACCATTGTTTAGTGAAAAGGATAACTCAATTTATTTTGCTTCATAAACTCCCTAAGGAGAAGGTGCATAATTGAGCAAAACAGAGTAATTTTTTTTCTCAGACAATATTGCCCATGCACATATATATATATATATATCATAAAACTCTTTTGACGAAGAATTCTTTTATTTTATTTTATGCAAGTATAAAAATATTGTGCATGTGTATTTTTGATTGGTTTATCTAGTATGTACTCTTTTTTTGTAATAGTAGAGTATTACTGTGAATCAGAGTAACATGTTTCTGTGAGACAGAGTAGCATGTTACTGTTTATGTCAATTTCGATGGTATTTTTTTTTTGGATAAGAATTTCATAGTCAATATGAATCTTATTTGATAGATCTTGATCAAAGAATTCTAAAAATAATAATTTTATTAAAAAATGATATTTAGATCAAAAGTTATATTATTTTAAAGTTAAAAAAATTAATCTACTTACGAAGTATATTTTGATAATAATGGGTTGGAATAAGAATGCTGCTTTTTGTGTAAGAGTGTACTACGTGACTCATGAGATAAATTGAATTTTTTTGGTAAAGAAAAATACACACATAATTCGAAGTTGCATTGAGAATGGGAAAATCTCCCCTCTTCTCTCTTAAAAATTATGAACTAAACTTAGAATTGAAAATTGATTAGTTTAATATACCCTGCTTTGTTGTATGGTTAGCTTTGGCTATCTCGCATCCAACGGCAGCATATATTTCAAATTTGCATGTTGTTGTGATTGGATTTCATTTGATAAAAAAAACTCCAAATTGATGTGGATATTTGATGCTAAGAAAGGTGAAGCTTATTCGGGGTTTGTCAAGGTCTATATGCTGCTTTGCCTAGTGAGCTGTATGAATAGTTTGTGTTGGAGGGTTGTAGTAGTTGGAATAATTTGAAAATTTTACTTAAAATTGCATCTTTTGCTTGAATATCACATATGCACCAAATTATATACAATCTTCAAATTGATTAAATCATGTTACGTTCATGAGGATTGGTCATTGCTTCTATGTTCACATTTGATCTCATTAATATAGAGGCAGCACAGCCTGATGTTTGTTTACTAATTATTTACCATATTCTGGCTTCAAGTTGAAACTGAGGCTAAGTTTGGCATCTTCAAAAAAAGTCAAAAAGTCAAAAAGTCACTATCCTATTTAAGTCACATCATCTTATTTAAGTCACATCACCTCTCTACCACATCACTTCAAACCCAACCCATGTTTCATAAAAAGTCAAAAAGTGCACTTATTTAGAACATTTCAAACAACCCATGAATATAAACCATGTGACAACTGGTTATAGTTAGTACTATCCAAAAGGCAACTCAAGTTTCATATTGGAAAAGTATAGCCATTAAGGCATATAATTGTAATAGTTTTGATATTCATACTTAACTATTACATGCTATAGATTCAGAATGTAAAATCGATGAATGTATTATGCATGTGAATTGGTTTGGGGTATCAATTTGTGGAAAGGATGGAGAAATTGTATATGTCACCATCCAAATCTGCTTCCAGAGGTTTGGACTGTAACCGGCCAGTAATTCCAGATTACCTGGCCTCAAAAGATAGAATTTCAAAATATATTCAATTATATGCGGCCAAAAACAGAAGCAGAAATATAAAATTTATCCAATAAGTTTGTGCATAAATGGCATGAACAAAAACATTGCTGTATATTAATAACTCACACCCATAAGTATATAAAAAGATCTCACATGTCCAAGACCATTCAAATATTATAGTAATATAAGAACCATAACTTATATACAGACATAGTCAAGCATGACCAACAAAAGAAAGTAAAAGAAAATAAAAAGACAAAGCCTCGGGCGTGAGACATCCTTGATTGATTTCACGAAGACTCTATATTCCTTCATAGGTTCACTAGGGTTGGAAGGCTCACTAGGGATGGACATTCTACTGCTTACATACATACACATTATGTTGCTCACCATAACATAGTGATATAATGGAGTGAGCGAAAGCCTAGTGAATAACATCAAAGTAAAGAAGTTATATGAATGAGTTCTGATATTAAGCAAATTCATTCTCGTAATAGTTTCGTATCATAACAGAACGACCTCGGGTCCAATATATGACAGAACGACCTCGGGTCTAACATATGACAGAATGACCTCGGGTCTAACATATGACTAAATGACCTTGCATCCATTTCAGATATACAGAATGACCTTGGGTTCATCGTATACTTTTATGCTTGTCAATCACATTTACAAATCTTTTACGAATCCGATAGGTAGAAAACTCATTCATAATACAAAATTACAAGTTTAGAAAACTTACCACATTGTAACATTTAGAAAATAAGATACATAAAATATCTTTACTAAGATATTACTCACAAGATTGTAGTTGTTGACACGTCCTTGCAGGTGGACCTATAATTCACATAAACACGTACGCACATTGAATCACATTGCTTATTCAATCCGTTAGTTAACTTATTTAATTCTCTTAGGATTTTTTCTAACTCTTTAATTCATTTAGAATGCTCAGAAAGGAATGAGAATGCACACGTAATCAGATTGTCTTTTTAAAATATGCTAAAATAGAGCACTTCGTTCGAACGCAGCATTGGTCGCTCAAGCAGACCACTTGGTTTGCAAAAGTACTAGATGGTTCGAATCTAGGCTAGATGGTTCGAATCTAGGCTCGATGGTCGCTTGAGCCAGCGTTCAAAACCAAAGGTGGTCACTCTAGCGGTGACTTGGTCACTCAATCCAATTATAGATGTCTGCAAAAATACTGAATGCATGATATGTGTGTTAGAGCAATAGATTGTTCGTTTGAGTGGTGAAGCAAAATTCTAGAATTTTTAGAACAGAGTTGAGCTTCAAAACACGTATCTTCAAATCAAAAACTTGCATGAGTTGGTCAAAACCTTGAAAACACTTAGAAACTTTTCCAAGAACATGGATACAAAACCAATTTGCAAAATTATAGCTCAAAACTTCTTGAATTCACCATGCGTAGAAACCCTTCCAAGAACATGGATACAAAACCAGTTTACAAAATTAAAGCTCAAACCTTCTTGAATTCACCATGCATGCCCCAATTAACTTCAAATTATTTTCTAAAACTCTCAAAACATGGAATTCAACATCAAAACTTTATGAATGATGGATGCATGGATGATTCCATCAATTCAAGCTTAGATGACATGAACCATGATCAATTACAACCTTCAACTAAAAATTCTATGAGTTTAGTAAAATTAAAACTTGAAACTTCATAATTAAAGCAAATTGAAACTCAAATTTTCATACATGTAGAAATCTTTTCCAAATTTCTTTTCTGAGCTTACAAAACATGAGATTGAACTTCAAAACTTCCTAAATCATGGTTGCACGTATAGTAGAGTTTCAAAATTCAACTTAGACAACATATTCATGGTAAAAAATGAAGATTCATAATGAAACTATGTATGCATGTATATCAAACTCCAAATTATTTACCAAAGCTTCAAAAACATAGAGATTAGCTTCAAAATAACTTAATTCTTGCATGCATGTATGATATGATCCTCAATTCATCATTCTAAGCTCAATTCTTGCAATTTATTTCATAATCTTCATGAACACACATATATATGGCTTCAATTTACGAATTAAGTCTCAAACTCTTACCTAAGGTCTTCAATGATACAAATTCTAGCAATATCTTGAGCCTCTCTTCCAAACTCTTCAATCTCTCTAAATTGCTCTCACTTTCACTCTAGAATGGAATTTCAGAATTTTGTAAAGAAGATGAGCTCAAAATGTTTAAGTCTATAACTTATAATACATACATATATACACACACACACACACACACACACACACACACAACTTTGTGCAATTTGTATAGATCAAGAAAGCTGTCTTGTTTCCTTTGAGTTGTGTCGGGTGAATGTTGTTGAAAATTCTTTCTTCAAATATTTTATGTTGTAGTTGTCCCAATTATGAGTTTTCACTCGTTTCGGAGGGTGCGGGGTCGACTCCGGAGTGTCCGAGAGAGAAGTTGAAGTTTTTCTGGGCTGGAGGGCCTGGCAGTATGTGCGGGGCCTTGGGCCGCACGTGCAGGAAGGGGGCCGCATGTGCGGGAAGCAGGGGTTTGAGTTGTGTGCACACTGCCTAAAAGGCAGGTGCAGAAGTGAGGTGCAGGGGAGACCGCACATGCGAGGGTGGTGGCCGCACGTGCGGGAGAAGGCGCTGCACGTGCAGCCAGACTCGTTTTCTGTCTCGTTTTTCGTGCTTTTCAGCTTTATTTGGCTCTTTTGACCCTTTTCACTTCATTTGAAGAATGTCTCTTTCTCTCTCTATACAATATTTCTCTCTTTTTGTCTCATCTCTCTCTGTCCAAACCCTTAAAACTTTACATTTTTTTTAATCCCATGAAATCCATTGGGTTTTGGATACTAGTTCCTTATACCAAAATGATGAGCATGTCGAGGGATTCATCTTGATTGATGGAGATCGTATTCCGGCGAAGTTGATTTTTAAGCTCTTTCTCCTCTTCTCTCTTGAGGTAGGGATTTCCTTGCTCTTTTTCAATACCTCTTTTATAGATAGGCACGTGGTAAGTTTTTATTGCATAAAAACCATGTTGTTGTGGACTTTTTCTAAAATCATGAATGAGAATCTAAGATGGGTTGTGTGTGGTTGAGCTTTGGGAAATTTATTGTTGTAGGATTAATTTTGGAAAATGGTTTAAATTGTTTATGTAGAGGGAGAGAGAGGTGAAGCCCTAATTTTTAATAATAATGCTCATTTGATAAAAAGGGGTTTTAATTGTGGGATAAGCATGTTATGAATTTAGGGTTAAATGATGAAATTTCCATGTTATGAATTAAGAATTTTGATTATTGATTTGGTAATAATTTGTGATTAAAAATGAGTTTTCATTAATTTTAGTATTTAACTTGTGTTGGATTGACTAAGTTTAAATGTAGCGAATCGATAAGTTGTTAATGGTCAAAAAGGGAATTTAATCATGAGATTAGAATAATATTGGGTTACACTTTCGTTAAGTAGAAATTGAATAGATTATGATTTTGTTATCCATGTTTGGATTCTCTTTGTCTAAATGATGGAAATTGAGTTGTGGAGGGTATAGTTGGTGTATTGTAAATTAGTAAATTTTGAAAATAAATATCAAAAGAAGAAGTAAGGATAACTTTCTTTTAACTGAGAAAAGAATTTCAAGTAATAGGTGAAACCTTGGAGTACTGTTGTTATTGGCCTAAAACCTCGTGAGAATTGGTTAATGGTATTATCTGCATTTAATACGTTTTGCTTAGAGGTTTTGTCCTTGGCCAGTGGTGGAGGATGACATTGTTGTGGTGATGAGTTGTGTGTATGCATTACACTTGTTGGTTATACCTATTCATATTGTGATGGTTGATAGTGTGTGTTGCGCTGAGAATCAGAGGTACCATTACCTTCTAGCTAGCGTTTGGAGAATTGGCAGTACTGAGAATCAGAGGTACCATTCCCTTCCACCTAGCGTCTGGAGAATTGGCAGAGGTACCATTCCCTTCCAGCTGGTGTCTGGTAAATTGGCATGTTTTGTGGAGAGATGTATCATTGGCTTACCATGCTTCAGGTTGGTAGAGCAGAGATTATTTATCATTGTTGTCTCAGTTTGACTGTGTGTGCGTCTTATGTTATGACGATTATGATTTTTGTAAGATTGAATTGCCCTGTATTTTGAGTAGATGTGTTCATATATCTTTGGACGTGCTAGAGAGTGGTTGAGGGGAAAATTCTTACCATAAATTATTTTGTTGAAAATGTCTCGTTAAATTTCGAGTTTAGGATTAAGAATGTGATGAACGTGTGGAGGCGGACTTTGTTGTATTTTGAGTATAATTAATGTAAAGAAATCGGGCTTGGTGAACATGCTTTTCAAAAGAAACAAAACGGTTATCATGTGGTGTTTTGTCACAAATGGAAAATATGGTTATCGTGTAATAATTGTTTAAATGGGAAATGGGTAGTAAAAGTGAATCTTGGAGTTGTTGAATAAATTGAAAGTTTTTGAGAAAAGTATCTATGTATGTATACTTTGGTTATAAAATGTCACATTATTTATATGGTATGAGATTAGCATTTCATGATCATAGCTATCTGTAAGTTGTTATTGTTAAGGACCATGTTGAGATCCCTACTGGACTTTATGTTCATCCCACGTTGTTAAATCTTTTTCAGGTAAATATCAGGATGTGCCATAAGGTCACGAATCTTCCTTATTTGATGGCCACGGGGCCTTTTATGTGTAGGCGGAATGCCAATGGTGTAAAAGGGTTAAACCTTTTCTCTTGATTTAAATGATGTAAGCTTACGGGCAATTTATTTGAATGTAAATTCATGTTGCATTCATTTTATATTCGAATGAGAGGATTTATACTTATGCATTCCTTATTTATATAATGAGCTTCTGTATGCTAACTCTGAAATTGAATATATAACATTGGCTTTGGTAGTGGAAATCCGTGTAATAAAAAGTGGGGCGTGACAACTTAGAGTCTAATTAAAGGCTGAAGTCCACTAATTGAGTTTAAGTTAATTTAATCAAAATTTAATATTTCTGAACTGAATCAAATTTTATTCAACCTTCCAAATAGGCTCTCAAAATTACGCCATTTGTAATAAACTAGCCAATTTCGGTTTTTGATGCAAATAAGGCGTTCAATTTTATATTATAACAAAAATCATACGATCAACAGATATGAAGTCAAAATTCACATTAATCACATAATTAACATTTAAATTCACACCTAACACATAAGCATATGCATAATTAAAGAACTAAAAGCATAACACGTGATGGGGTTGTCACAGTCTTCCCCTCTTTAAAAAGTTTGGTTGTCCAAACTTGCGTTACCTTGAGTCAGAAACAATTCAGGATACCTTTGTCGAATAATTTTGATCTTTTTGGTAGTCGTTTGTACGGTCTCGGGACCAAGCAAACTCCGTCCCTAACTTCTGTTAAACAGATCGGAGATCTACATTTCCTGCCATATAAGGCTTCATATGATGCCATACCAATACTATAATAGAAACTGTTGTTGTAAGCAAACTCTGCCAATGGTAAATAGGTTTCCTAACTTCCCTAAAAATCTAGGGCACATGTTGGAGCATATCCTCTAAAGTTTGAATAGTTCTTTTTGATTGTCCTTCGGTTTGAGGATTGAATGTGGTACTAAACCTCAATTTCGTTCCCATTTCCATTCTAGAATGGGGAGAGACTGAAGTGGCCCTGCCGGTCTCTGATATTTAGTTTTGTCCTGTTGACATTATAGACACTTAGACACAAATTCAGCAATTCCCTTCTTCATGTTAGGCCACCAATACATTTGCTTCAGATCTCATCTAACTTTACCACAGAAGTTTGATCTATTCCCCTTTGTCACAGAAATTCAATTCATTCCTCAATCATTCCACAATATTCAGTTCAATGATTCATCATAGTCATCCAAGGTTATTTAGAAGTCATCATGATTATAAAGTGGATCCAGGTACTAATTCTCAAGTCAACAAAGGTAAGAACGAAGCAATCAATCACATGACATGCATAATTAACATATTCATATAGCACCAATTGTAAAGTACGATAATACTAAAGCAATCAATCACAAGGCATACTAAATTCATTTACTTCCAAATAGTCGAGGTTTTTAATCCCAAGTAGTGTTCATAATCAAAATAGTTTGGGGTTAATAATTCCTATAGCATTGGGTTTAAAACACGGTAACATAGAAGTAGCCATTTTCTAAAACAATCAATTACTAGACTTGCACAATTTAGTTCATCTATAACACATATATCCCCCATAGTTGAAGGTTGGTTCTCAATAGTGTTCATGATTAGATCAGTTTGTTGTTGGTAGTCCACATGCGATTCTTATCATAAGGTAAATATTTAGACAATTCAATTTCTCTTAGTACTATAAACTCATCATTTGTTCATAAATAATTTGTAATCCCTCGTAAACGAAATCAAGTCAGATAGGGTTTCTATCAAATCCAATCAGATAAAGATCCTATCAGATCAAATTAGATGAAGGTTCTATTAGATCAAATCAAATAAAAGTTCTACCTCATCATTCTCAAACAAGGTATATTTGGTTTCGAGGGTCACAATTAATTCGCTTAGGTACATAGTCAATAGTTTCACAATCATTCTAAGTTCATCTGTTCTCAAGATCATACATCATAATGGTTCATATCAAAGCGTTTTAGGTCATATACAACTTGGCATTCTTCAAATGAGTTCACATGTAAGTATACAGGTATGCAGTTGTTCATATCATAGAGTTCCTTGGTGGCACACAATATAGAGTTCGCTATGCGAGAGTTTCAAACAAGTCATATAATCAAAAAATCATGGTTCTAATAGTCTAGTCAAATAGTCTAGTCAACCTTAAACAAACAAAGTACACAATCACATAATATAGAGTTCATTATTTGGGTTGCCCAACCCAGTCGCATAATCACAAAGTCATAGTCTTGATGGTCTAGTTAGTGGGAACAAGTAATATAACAAATCATCCTAAGCAAAGGTATAGATATATATATGTGTCTAGAATCAATTAACATTCCAAGGAAAGGTGTATATATATAAGAGTCCAGAATCAATCAACACATAGACATTCGTTCATAAACAGTAAAGGTACCTAGGACAACAGTCTTAGTGTTCTGAGTGTTTTTTGCGATGAGTGCAATTACTCTACCTTGGCTAGCGGTTCCTCTTATCGTAATGGGTCTTTCCATTGGTACAAAACTAGCTGAGGTAGCGGGTCTATTCATATTTTGTTCAATCCGGGGATAATTCCTTACTGTATGACCCATTTTACCTTATTCATAACAAGCCCCAGAAATTCGATAACAAATCCCTCGATGCTTTTTCCCATATTCTGAACAAATCGGCGTTGAACCATTTCTTTGAGCGAGTTCATCTTGCCTAGATGTTTCTGACTTCGATTTCTTATTCTTCAAGAATTCCTTGTTCACATCAGAGCTTTGTCTCTTTCTTTTCAATTCAGAAGATTGGTTCATGTTAGCTTCCTATATCAGTGCTCGATTTAACACCTCAACGTATTTTGTTACTTTAAAACATTCACTTGATGCTCCTGCGTTGGTGGTGGTGAAGTTTCTTGCTGTAATCGTAGATGTTGTTGCTGTCTTAAGGTCTTTGCCATTTCTTGTACTATTCTTTTCAGTCAATCAAGTTAGGCTGTGGAAGATTCTTCCAACTCATCTGTCTTTGTTCTTGCCATGTTCTACATAAACTCATATTATGACAAGTACAGAGATATACACAAATACACATACACATCGTTGTACGTAGGCACAACAATTTATATCTCATATTTTCACATATTCTCAATGCAAACAAGCATGTTCTTGTTAGATAAATGCAACTTAAGTCTTTTCTAGACACCTTATTGCTCATTTGGACAAGTGAGTGAGTTATTAATTCATGCCTTGATACCACTCCGTCACAACCCAAACCCGCCTCTAGAGGTTTGGACTGTAACCGACCAGTAATCCCAGATTACAAGACTCAAAAGACAGAATTTCAAAATATATTTAATTATATGGGGCCAAAAATGGAAGTAGAAATATAAAATTTGTCCAATGAGCTTGTGCATAAATGGCATGAACAAAAACATTGTTGTATATTAATAACTCACACCCATAAATATATAAAAAGATCTCACATGTCCAAGACCATTCAAATATCATAGTCATACAAGAACCAGAACTTATATACAGACATGGTCAAGCATGACCAGCAAAAGAAAGTAAAAGAAAATCAAAAAAGGCAAAAGCCTCGGGTGCGAGTCGTCCTTGGCTAACTTCACAAAAACTCGGTATTCCTTCATAGGTTCACTAGGGCTAGAGACCCCGCTACTCACCTATATATATATATAATGGAGCGACCGAAAGCCCAGTGAATAACATAAAAGTAAAGAGGTTATATGAATGAATTCTAATATTAAACAAAATCATTCGCATAACAGTTTCGTATCATAACGGAATGACCTCGGTTCAATATATGATAGAACGTCCTTAGGTCCAACATATGACAGAATGACCTCAAGTCCAATATATGACAGAATGACTTTGGGTCTATTTCAAATAGATAGAATGACCTTGGGTCTATCATATACTTTCATGCTTGTCAATCACATTTACAGACCTTTTACGAATCAGACAGGTAGAAAGCGTATTCATAACATAGAATTACAAGTTTAGAAAACTTACCACATTATAACATTTAAAAAATAAAATATATAAAATATCTTTACGAAGATATTACTCACAAGATTGTAGTTGTTGACACGTCCTTGCAGATGGACCTACAATTCACATAAACACAAACGCACATTAAATCACATTGCTTATTCAATCCGTTCGTTAACATATTTAATTCTCTTAAGCTTCTTTTTAACTCTTTATTTCATTTAGAATGCTTAATTCATGTCTAAAAATGCTCAGAAAGGAATGAGAATGCACGTGATCAGAATATGTCTTTTCAAAGTAAGTTAAAACAGAGCACTTCGCTTGAGTGCAACATTGGTCGCTCAAGCGAACCACTTCGTCTACAAAAGTACTAGATGGTCCGAATCTAGGCTTGATGGTCGCTCGAGTCAATGTTCAAAACAAAAGGCGGTCACTTGAGCCAACTGTAGATGTCTGGAAAAATACTGGATGCATGATATGTGCGCTCGAGTGACAGATTGTTCGTTCTAGTGGTGAGGCAAAATTCTAGAATTTCTATAATAGAGTTGAGCTTCAAAATATGAATCTTCTAGTCAAAAACTTGCATGGCTTGGTCAAAACCTTGAAAACACTTAGAAGCTCTTCCAAGAACATGGATACAAAACCAATTTGCAAAATCAAAGCTCAAAACTTCTTGAATTCACCATGCACGGCCCAACTAACTTCAAATTCTTTTTCAAAACTCTCAAAACATGGAATTCAATATCAAAACTTTATGAATTATGGATGCATGGATTATTTAACCTTGAATTCAAGCTTAGATGACATGAACCATGATCAATCACAACCTTTAACTCAAAATTCTATGAATTTAGTAAAATTAAAACTTGAAACTTCATAATTAAAGCAAATTGAAAGCCAAACTTTTATGCATGTAGAAATATTTTCTAAATTCCTTTTTGTAACTTTCAAAACTTGAGATTGAACTTCAAAACTCCCTAAATCATGGTTGTATGTATAGTAGAGTTTCAAAGTTCAACTTAGACAACATATTCATGATAAAAAATGAAGATTCATAACAAAACCACGCATGCATGTATGTCAAACTCCAAATTCTTTTCCAAAGCTTGAAAAACATGGAGATTAGCTTCAAAACA